ACAGACACATTTTAATTAATTTGTTTGTTTTTAAGGTTTAATTATTTCTTTACATAATCAAGAACAAATAAGAGCTGTATTGTATTATTGTAAAAAGTTATTTAAATTTATCACTTGACAAATTTAAAAAATCTTAAGTAATCCTTGATTAAAAAAAACTTTAAATTTAGTTTAAATTTAGTTCTAAAATAAAGCAGTGTTATCACTGTAAAATTAAACTCGTAAAAGTGTTTAAGTATTTAGCAAAGTAATTAAAAACATCTTTTGAAGAAAAACATTCTTTTTATACATTAAATGAGTTTTGTTTTGGACTTAAGGTTTTAATTACTATTCATAAAACAATGGTTTTAAGCGTTTTGTATTTCTTATTGTTTAATAATGCATGTTAAAAACTTATTTAATTAAAAAGTTCATTTGTTTAGCTTTATGTTGATATATAGTTTGTTATGCTTTTAAAGAGATTTGCTATTTGAATTTTAATTAGTTGTCAATGTTATCCAAATTTTATTCAAAAAAATGTGCTGTCGCAGGTTTTTATAAAACAGCTGGTTGCGAAAAAGTTTATGAAAGTTTAATTAACAGCATTTGTTTGCTAAACTTTTTCTTGAAATTCTTATTTAATCTTATTTTATTTTTAAAATTGAACAAGATTGCAAAAAAGTGTAGCATTATCGAATAAATTTTAAAATTGAAATCATTTACTGAAAAACTTTTTATTGTCAATTTTGGTAGTTTTTTGATTTGTAATTTTAAGAGACAGGTTTTAATGTAAAATACTTGTCAAATACGACATAAATTAGGAAGTATTAAGTATAATATGTTTTTTAATGAAAATAAACAGCTTAGATAAACTAGAAAAAAAAGTTTACATTGTTTACTTAAAAAAAAAAGGTTCAAAATATATAATAAGGTGATCAACGTCTTTTTTGAGTATTTATTATATTTAAGAGAATATTTATTATATTTTAATAAAAATTTTAATTTTATTTGGTTCTTGCGCTCTATAAAAAAACATACTTTTGTTTCCTATAAAATTTATATTATTGTAATATTGATTCAGAAGAAAAAAATTCTACAATTACATCATTTACTGAAACTCATTGAAGTTAAATGCGCTTGAATAAATTATCAAGTCTGTAGACTGCGGTGTTTATTTCAAAGACTTTGAGAAAATGGCTAACATGGAGACAATGAGCTTCGAGTAAAACAACAAAGTTTGTTTTTCTTGGTATACCTTTATTATTTACTTAAAAAAATTCTGCCCAATCATTCTTTTTTATCATTCTCTTTAATATGAACACAACTTTTCTGAGCATTTTTGGATCTCTTTAAACTTTCGAATGGTGAATTTATTTCAAATAGTGATATTATTTTAAATTCCGAAGTAATGGTATTTGACTTTTTCAATATTTGTATTTCGGCAACTATAAATTATTCCATATAACAGGATCCAAGTATTCTTAACCCTATTTCTACAATTCCCATTAGTCTAATTTATTAATAGTTGTATAATATATAATTAATTATATTGTAGATATTCATGCCTAAAACTTAAGAGTTTTGAGTTTTGTTTTATATTTTTCTGGTTTTGTTTTAGGTTTTTATACTGTTTAAGCCAATTTTATACTGTTTACAACCAATGCTTTTATTTTGTTGATTAAAAAAAATCTTTAAAGATTCTAAAGTTTAAATAAACATTTATAATTTTTTAGTGTTTCTTTTTTTTATAACTTCAAATTTTGATAAACCTGTGGTAATTAAGTGAGCTAGTTAGTCTTTTTGACTTGACTAAAGTCTCAAACATGCATAAAACCTCTGGCTCAAGTCAAAGATTTTAGTCAGTTTTAATTTATTGTAGGCAGTAGCTTACCTGGGCACATATTAGTTGGGTACATATTAGTTTATCACATTAGTTAAGCACATATTAGTTGGGTGCATATTAGTTTATCACATTAGTTAAGCACATATTAGTTGGGTTAGGGCAGTTCAGTATGCTAATTTTTGTCAACTTGGTACTCAAAAGTAGCAAAATTTTATAAGAATTTTAAAAATTAGATTCATTTTTTATAAAAAACAACTTAAAAAAACTTATTATTAAAAATGTTGTGAATATTACCTTTTTTTCATTTTTCGTTTAAAAACCATAGTTTTTATTCAAAAAAACCTAATATTGTTTTTTTTATAAAAAATACTTTTTGTTTTTGAAATTTTTAAATGATTTTGCTTCTTTTGAGTACCAAGTTGACATCTTTTTAAATAATTTTTTTTTCAATAATATTAGGGACCTGTCAAATGTTTAGGGGCTTTGAGGGACCTTCAGGGCAAATAATAAAATTTAGTAAAAAATATTTTTGAACCACAATATGATAGTTGAATGGGAAAAACTTCAATTAGCTATGTTCTGAAAACAAATTAGCATACTGAACAGCCCTATAGTTGGGTGCATATTAGTTTATCACATTAGTTAAGCACATATTAGTTGGGTGCGTATTAGTTTATCATATTAGTTAAGCACATATTAGTTGGGCGCATATTAGTTATGAACATATGAGTTAGGCACATATAAGTATAATAAGAAAGGGTTAGCAACCCTTTAGCTCCTTCTCAATAGACAATAAGCTGTAGCAACATTCCGGTGGATAATTATAATGCTAGTGCCAACCAAAGTGTTTGTCAATACAATTTTTAAACTTATTAAGATGAGGTGAGTCAATCACAGTTTGTGGGAGTTTCCATCGGCTGGCGACTCTGTTAGGGAAGAAATTAAGTTTAGTAGAGATGGCACACATGTTATTATTTAGGTCAAGTGCTTTAAAAAACTCTTTGAAGAGACACTGAGAGTGTCCTTGAGTTATTCGATCATATAGATGGCCAGTTTGTGGGTTAAGCCAGGAAATATTGAAGTTTTAACTTGAAGTTGTAGATTAAATCACTTCAATTGCATCTTTCATATAGTGAGGTGAGATAAAAATGTGATAATCTGGCTTTGCTGGTTAACTCTCTAAGAAGCGGAATTTCTTCAGTGGCACTGTTTTGAACTTTTTCAAGTATTTTAATGTTGTGTGCAGAAAAAAAATTCCATACAGGAACAGCATACTCAAAATGAGGTCTGATCAGCAATGTGTTAAGTCTCTTCCAGACTTGTGCATTTTTATAGATAAAAGTTTTCTTTAGTTGACCTAGGACAGAATTAGCTTTAGATGATATTATTTTGACATGCATGTTCTATTTGAGGTTGTGTGAAATGCAAATACCAGGATCTCTTTTGTTGTAAGAAGAATCTAGAAGCTGCATCCCTGGTGGAGTCAAGATGTAGTATTGGTGGTTAGGATTTTTGATTTTTTTGAAGTGTAAGATAAGGTACTTTTTGTAGTTAAGAAATTAGCGCCAGGTTGTATTCCGAGATGTGATTTGATTTATGTCATTCTGGAGCATAATTAGGCTGTCAGGGGTCAAACTGGTGGAAATAAATGTTGTCATTAGCAGTTATATGTTAATTCATTGGATTGCTAACTAGGTCTGTAATGTCATTGATGTTTAAGACAAATAAAAGAGGTCCTAATACCAGTCCTTGTGGGACACCACTAATGACTGGTAACCAATCTAAAGTAGCAGAACCCATGACAAATTGCTGTGTTTTGTTAGAAAGAAAAGACTTTATTCAATAAGTAGCATATAAGAGACTCAATAACCAGAAAGTTTGTGGAGAATAAGATCATGACGAGATGTGTCAAATGCTTTTTCATAATTTACATATAAAACATCTACACTATAGCCTCTTGCCATTGAATATTAGATCTGATCTACAGTTTCCAATAAATTGATAATACATGATTTATTTGGAACAAATCCGTGCTGATTTAGAGATAAAAGAGTATTAGCAGATAGATACTCAGTTAAACAATCTTTTCACAAAATGTTTGCACAGACAGGTGTTAAAGAAATGGGTCTGTAGTTTGAAGCATCATGTTAGATCCTTTTTTGTGAAGAGGTGTGATGTTAGCTTCCAGCTATGCAGCTGGGATTAGACCTTCAGAAATAGATTTTATAAATATATAAGTGATAGCACATTTAGAGAAGAACATTTCTTGAGAATGTGTGGGTGAATGCTGTCTACACCTAAAGATTTATGCAAGTTGAGTTTTAATAGTAGTGATTGTATGTAGTTCTCATTAAGTTTATTCAAGGCTGTCTCATTAATCCCAGAAAATGTGAGTTTTTTGAATGCTGGCAACAATTGACTTAGTATTATTGCTTGGATCAGTTGTAATGTTACTATTTGATACTTTCTTAAATTTTATTTGATTTTTAATTTTATTTCTTGTTATATATCAATAAACGAGTTTTGTATTTGTCTTGGCTTTTTCAGATATATATTTTTCATGTTCAGTAACAGAATGAACAAGAGATTTTTTTACTTTTTTGCAACAAATATTATAATTTTAGTGTCTAAATGCTAGTTTCATTCTTTGCTTCTATGATAATTCTCTTCCTTCCATCAAACTAAACAGGTTAACCCAATGTTAAACATTCAAATCACTCTAGCTTCCGTTGATGTGAGTGAAAGATTTTTTGGACAACTAAAAGTCTCACTGTCAATTAAAACTCATTCTCATTTGACTTCATCCAGCAAAGTCTCATTTGTTTACTATATCTGTCCCTACATGCTCTAAAAACTGTTATTTGTCTAGTTTTTTTCCCTGCACTTTAACTTTTTGGAACTCTCTCCTATCTTTATGTTTTCCTCATAAAACCTTTAACTCTTCTGTCAACTGTTTTCTTGGTCTATAACTCTATTCTTCTTTTCTAGTGACTCCCAACTTAACAAGTGGTTGCTTGGAGTCTAGTTTGGTTATTTCCAGGTTTATGATAAATAGATAATAAAACAAGACTTAAAAACTACAGTATTTTAACATTATACTATTTTATATTATGAAAAGATAAGTAAAGTTCTATGCTAAATAGTGCTGTGTAACATTACATAATGTCAACTTTTTTAGATTTTCACCTGATGGTCGATTGATTGTATCAGCTGGTGATGACAAAACAATTAAGTTGTGGGACCGAAGTTCAAAACAGTGTTCTCACACTTTCTATGAATATGGAGGGTTTGTTTTAAAAAAATTTTTTAAAACAAAAGCAAAAAATATGCTAGCATTTTTTTTATAAAAAAACATTTTCAATTTCAGAATTGTAAACCATGTTGAGTTTCACCCAAGTGGTACATGTATTGCTGCAGGTGGTGCAGACAATGCTGTCAAGGTATTTAAAGTTAATTTTAATTTAGATATTTTCAATTTATGCTATTTTTAATTTATGAAAAATTTAGTATTTGCAATGGCAGGTTTTAGGGGGGGGGGGTCATGGGGTAGCAGCGCCCCCCTCCCTCCCCCCTCCCCCTCCCCCTCCTCCTCACCCCTCCTTTCCTTGGGACTTTTTTTCAGAAATATTCTTTTGTAAATTGACTATTATACTGAATTGAACTATTATACTGACAAATGAAATTAATCATACATAATTATAATATTTATAATATTTATAATAATTGGTCATATGTATATAATTATATGTATATGAACTTGATTATTACACTAAAGTACAAAAAATTAAAACAGAAAGTTACTTATAAATGAAAATATGCGGATCATTTTTTTTTTTAAAGCCTATTTAGCCCCCTCCTTGACAAGTGACGAAACGCGCCCCTGAGTATTTGCCTGCATATATTTTAAATTTAGTTTCTTAAATTTGAAAATGTTATTTTGTTTGGGATTTAAACTTTTATTTTGTTTGAAAAATAAAGTTTCATTTTATTGGGAATATAAAATCATATTTGAGATGCAAAATGTTATTTGCTTAAAAAAGATCTCACTTCTGCTACAGCATGGGGCTCTTGATGGCTGTTGAACTTTAACTTAGATAAAACTATATATAATCTAAATATATGATTTAAATTAAATTAGCATCTGATATGGTTGCATCTCTTTATTGTGCTTTTTCTAATTCGCTCCTTTCATCTTGTTTTACCGATTTTTATAATTTGCAATCTTATAAGTTGTCTGTTAACCGATATCTTGCTTTATAAACTTCATCTTTTCTCTTTCAATGACTTCCAATTCTTATAGTGTTTGATTGCAGCCTTGTTGGAAGTGGAGATGATTAAAAAAAAAGTATTTTTGATAAAATATTAATTTGTTTGAGATAAAGTTTTATTTTGTTAATTGTTTTTTAGAGATTTTATTTTTTTAAACAATATAAGGATTAGCATCCAAAGAAAATAGATGAGTTTTTTCCAGGAAATCCCCGAATTCCGGAAATTGACTTATAACTCCTTTAATTTTCCAGAAATTTCAGGATTTTTTTTTGTTAATTATTTGAAAAAAAATTTATATATTTTTACATAAAATTTTAAATATGACAACTTTTGCATTTAAACAAATATGTTTTCTATAATTAAAATTTTCATGAGATCAATTTTTGTAACAATTTTTTTCTTTTCTTTTTTTTTTTTTTTGCTTTTTAATTCATTCAAATTAACTTTTTCAAATATTAGAAATTCCTTTTTGTAAAAAGTTAAATAATCTAAATTCTGTTTTAAAAGTTTACAAAAGTTTTTGTTGTCTGTTAATACTATCAAATTTTAATAAAATAATTTTCCGGGATTTTCATAGAAAAAAAGTCAAATACTCATCTATGCAAAGAACCAATAAACATTTTTTTAATTTGTATATTTATTAATTGGTATTTTCTTGGTTGTTTGTTTTTTTGTCTCATTAAAATTGTAAAAGTTTATTTGAGTACCTACTTTAGTTTTTATCTTATTATTTACAGTCATAAAAAAGTTTTCTACAATACATATGCTCAAGTTTTTCATTGCGCAGTCTTTTTCAAGCAATAAATTAAAAAAAAAAATACCATGTAAAAATTATTTACCTTAAAAAAAAATTGAAAAACCTAAATTATTTTTTTGTAAAAAAAGCTTTTTTATTTGTTTTTGTTTAATTTATGCATAAAGATGTTTTTTTTTTTGTTTTTTTTTTGAAGGTTTGGGACATAAGGATGAACAAACTACTGCAACACTATCAAGGTAATTGTTATCAATTTGAACAATTAAATGTTTATAAAACATGTTTTAAAAAATCTTTAAAAAAAATTAAATATATGAATTGTAGTGAAACAACTAATATTTCCATAACAACTTACTAACAAATAAAATAAATTGAAATTAAATAAATCAAATTATTTTTAGATAAGTTAAAGTTTTGTAAATTTTGGTGCTTGTTAATTTTTTTTGTACACAGTGGTGTTGTTTAATTTTTTTAGTACATGGAGGTCCTGTTACTTCTTTATCTTTTCATCCAAGTGGAAACTATTTAGTATCTGGATCTGCTGACTCCACATTAAAGGTTTTTTTTTCAAATAGTATTTATTATTTTATCTATTATAAATAAGAATTATGATAATATTTAAAGTAATAATAATAAAAGTTATAATTTATATTTCTAATTTTTTACAATTAATTAAATTGAATAAAAAAAATGAATATAAAAAAAAATTCAAGTTGATCAATACTTCAAAAAATGTTTAAAAAGTAAAATTAACCATTTTAATTAACTTTTGCAGGTTTTTTGAACATTAGCTGGTAATATTTTTATTTTTTAGGAATATTTTTTCATCAATACAATATTCTATAAAAAATATTCTATAAAAGTATTGCAAGTTCTTCTTATAATTTGTAATCACTAAAAGAATAAAACAAATACCATCTAAAAAATCAAGTTTATTTAGCAACCATTTTTGCATACTAATTTACTTTTAAGTGTGTTATATTAGGACAGTCTCATTAGTTAATGGCACTGTAGTTTGCAAGTTGCATTGACCAATAAATTTTAAAATATAAAAAGTTAGAGGAAAATATTGTCCTAAATTGTTTGGACAGGCATATTGTCTTGTCAAATTCCCACCTTTACATTCAACAAATTGTGCTTTTTTGATTTTTTAAAATTTCGCTCCAGGTGAACTTTTGCTGAAAAAAAATCTTATAATTATTAACATATTCATTTACAATCACAGGTTTATTTAAATAGGGTTCTAATGTTTTTTATCAAGGTTAGTGACAATTTGAGTTTTGAAACTTATTACAATGGTGCCAAAAATAAAATTCTAAAAAATCTCTAAAAAAAGGAGTTTCAAAAATTTACATTTAGGTTTAAATTACACTTAAAATTGCTTTAATCTGTTAATCTCATTAGTTTAATCCACATTTGTTTTTATTCAATTGATTTACCGGGAGCTCCAAATTATTAATTAGCTTTTCAAATTTTTAAAAGATAAATAATTTGCAGTACAGACAGAAATGCAACACTTTTTACACATATTTTAATGTATGTATAATTGTGACTATAGTTGAGCATAGTAGCCCCAATAAGATGCTGTTTGCAAGACCTGTAGTAAAGGTCACCATAATAAAAACAGAAACACCGGTCTTACTTATTGTTTTCTGTTAATTTTTTTAAAAACTTTTTTATTATAGATATTAGATTTAATGGAGGGTCGTCTATTTTATACATTACACGGTCATCAGGTATTAATTTTTATTTTTCCATTTTTTAAAATTTTCTTGCACCCATCTTTATTTAGAACTTTTTAAAAAGTTATTTGAATGTCATGTTTTTTTTTTTAAATCTACATAAGTATATCAATACAATAAAATGATTTTCACTTGTTTTTATACTGATATTTGTTGCTTTTTTTTTTATGTAATTTAATTTTTGTTATTGTTGTTTTTGTTTTTTAGGGTGCTGTTAATTCAGTAAAGTTTTCTAAAAATGGTGAGTTATTTGCATCTGGTGGCATTGATGAACAGGTAGGAATAAAAATAAGTTTATTTGAACAAGTGTGTTAAAATATAATACCTCATTAGTATTAGACCAAATATGAAAGTCAAATTTTTTAATTATTATTAATGTTTTGAGTTATGTAGTTAAAAAAATTATTAGCTGATCCAAAATTTTGGCATATTATTCTATATATATAAAATACTCAGTCAAACTTATATTGTTTGCTTTATATTGAAATTGCTTTCTGCTGTGGGCTTTAGTACATACATTGACTGACTAAATAGGTAAAACATGCAAGTGCTACTTCATCAACTAAGGGTTTGAAATTAATTATTTTTAGGAATGTTTAGTTCTATAATTGACCAAAATATATATATATATATATATATATATATATATATATATATATATATATATATATATATATATATATATATATACATATATATATATATATATATATATATATATATATATATATATATATATATATATATATATATATATATATATATATATATATATATATATATATATATATATATATATACACTGTAAAACTTTACAGTTAAAATCACGATATTATTCCGTTACCCATAAGTGCCGGTATTGTACCGTGATTATTTAATGGTAGAACACTGTGAATAAATCACAGTAAAACGCTGTTATTTTATGGTAGAATACCGTGATTTTTCTGTGATGAAACAGCGTGAATTTCAGCATAGTACTGTGATTACTTTACAAAAATGCCTCGTCCATTTATTGTACAACATATATTGGTACAAAATATATTTTTGCTAGTTTCTAAAAATTTTTCGCTTATTTCATTTGGTCATTCAATTTAATTGTATTTCAATTACGTTTTTTCAATTATAAATATCTATTAACATATATCCTTGTTTATATGCTTATGGCGACAAAAACACGTCAGATTTTTAAAAATCTTTTCAGTTTACATTATTACATAAATAAAAATAGTTACTCAGATAAATTAAAGGAATGTAAATAGGTTACAAAAAAACGCAAACTTAAACTATGTGACATATTAATATGGTGTTATATAAATATTTATATTCGAGTTTAAGAACGAATCAAATTCAAAAAAAAAAAAAAAGATATTATTGTAAAACTTTTGAAAATTTACAAATAAGTATAAATAATTACAAAATAAATTGTTTTTTCAAAGTTATATTTAGAAGTTTAACTAAGTTTAGAAATTCAAATATTATTAAATCTCGCAAACTTCTGCAGTATTGACAGCAAAATTTTGCTTATTGATGAAGTCTTCTTCGTTCGCCTTGATTTGCTCCCTTTTTCAGGATTGATGCCAAAAAATGCACTAGAACGGTCAATAATATATGTATTAGCAATTGACGTTTGAAAGCATTCTCATCAATAAATAAAAAATACCATTAAAGTCAAATACAATATAAACTTTAGAAAAATTAAATAAATTTAATTCAACATAACATAAATATAATATACTGTTGACTAAAAAATAAAATGCAAGTTGACCTAAAAAAAATCCACTTAAGTATAAAGAAAAATGATAGAATTCATCCTTTTTTTTACAAAATATGTTTCAAGTTTTTGATTTTCAAAAACTTAAAACATATACGAACTTGTAATTCAACATACCATAAACTTTTCATCATCTAATTCTTTTATCAAGAGTTCACCACCATTCACTCCACTCATTAAAACATCAAAGTGATGTAGCAAATCATCAACCTAAATATAAAAAATCAATTTAAATACATAGATATACTAAAACTAAATAAAATAAACTTCTGCAAAAATCAAATTAAATACTATAAAAATAAAATGTCTATTTATTTATCATTATTTATATTAATAACATAAGTTTATTTTTAAAAAAAAGAACTTACTTTACTGTAAATAAATTATAGAGTTTTATCAACAAATCATTTCACAAGATCTTTCCATTTATTTTAGTTCGTTGTAAATAGTAATGGAGTTCTTCAGGACTGTTTGAAATACTGAGAACTGGTTCTCGGTTTAAGTAACCATAACTATCTTTTTTTTTTATGACATCAACTAATAATTGGGATCCCTCTGTCATGACCCCAACCAATTACTGTGGGACCATATTCATCTATAAACAATTTAGAATATTTGGCAACCATAGAAGATGTAATTACATCTAAATGTTTTTAATGGCATAAGCAAACAGCAAGAATATCATTCATAATGCTTATAGTTGCACAACGATGTGCTGTTGAAGGTCTTTCTCCAGCTACAAATATATCTTGTGCCTCTTTAGACATTTTGGCCCAACAAATCTCAAATACTAATCAGCAGCACTTACATGTTTAATCTTTATTGCTAGACAGAATTAAAACTATATTTAAAATTGAACAATTAAATATTTAAAAAACTATTACATTAAATTTTTAATATAAATATTAAAATTAAATTAAACATTTTATTACTTACCATGTTTTATTAACAACTTTTTTTAATAACTTACTCAAATTAGTTGAGTTATTTTTCATATCAACTATGGCATCATTTGCATGCTGGATTGTGTGGCCACAATAAAATCTACAGGATATTGAGATTGTTCTGCAAAAAATATTATTAACTTTATAAATAAAAGTATATAAATGTATTTGATAATAAAAATGATACTTATTTTATATATATATATATATATATATATCATAAATCTTTATTACCAGAGCTTTCCTTTGCCCAATGTTCAAGGAGTTTGCGCTGTTTGATGAGTTTTAGCAAAACCAAGTCCTCAACTTTTATCAGGCAGAGGTGTTTCATTTTCAACACCTATTTCCAATAAATTTTTGACAACCTGGTTCAAAACACATTTATCAATATTTGGCAGTGTTTTTAAAATATTACTCTTAATAGCAAACATCTTAAAAAAAGAAATATATATGAACATCATGTGTATATAACAGATAGATATAGATAATATCTAAATCTATTTGTGATATAGGTATTATCTATATCACAGCTAAATAATCTAGCTGTGGTATAGATAATATCTATATCACAACTAGTTGTGATATAGATATCAGGCTTGGTCGGGAAGCGGGAGCGATTGCTCTCGATTGCTGACCACGTAAATAATATTTAGTTGCGACAAGCTGGGCAGATTTTTTAGTTGTTTTGAGAACATTTTAAAAAGCAAAAAAAAAATGCGACAAAGATTAATTGGACCGATGAGAGACAATTACAAAAAAAAAAATTAGGCAAATAAAATATCTTTAAACGCGAAAAAACCTAAAGCTAAATAAATTACATTTAGAACAAATATTTTCGAAACATCGCTCTTTTATATATTTTTTTATAAAATTAAGCGATGTTTTTTATATAAAGTAACAACTTACGATTGTTTAAAAGGGAAACAAATATTCTTTATTTAACAAAGTTTGCAAGTTTTAGTTTTACTTAAGCCTAATTTATTTTATAAATAAAAAAGTTAATTTTTTTAATACCTATTTTATGTTTCGCGTAGTTTGAAAAGTTTAACATATTTGAAGCGATTCTTCTTAGTAAGATAAACAAATGAAATAATTAAATCATTGAATTACTATAGAAATTAAATTATCAAGATAGAAATCAACTAAAAAGGTTAAAAATACTTTATAACAAGGAAGCGAAACTGCTTTACAATATCGCTGATGATGTTTAGTGCGTGGGCTTTTTAATTTTAATTAGTATTTAAAGCAGAAAAAAGTATAACGAGTATTAAAAATGGCAACTTAAGCGAAAATAATTAGAGTTAGTAAACCAATATCTAGAAACTTTTCTTTATATCTAATTATTTGCTATATATATTTGTGTTCTGTCGTGACCTCAGGCGCGGTGCTTGTTCATCCGCGAGTTACTTTGTATGCGTTGTTTGTGTTTAGTAACCAGAAACTTCTTATATGTTTGTTACATAATTAGTTTTATTAACTTAAACGATTATAACTTCATTGAAAATGCAATTATTTTTGTAAGTCTTTGTTTAAATCATAAAAATTGCTTTAAAAGATACATTACCATAAAAAACAAATACACAAAATTACATTTACATAAAGAATACAATCTCTTTTAAAATAAAAAATAAGAATTTACTAATAAAATCTATAATTTATAATAAACTTTTAAAATTTTAACAATTTAATTAATATATATTTAAAACATTTATTTTCGTAAACAATCAATATATACTCACCCCCCCCCCCCACGTGACACCTACTCGCCGGCGCGAGTAGGTGTCACGTGGGGGGTGCCATTGCAACTACAAAAAAAAAAAAAAAAAAAAAGGTCCTCGTTTTCCAAAATTTGCCGACTGCCATAACGACATTTGCCGACTGTCTAACCTATATCGAAAGGATCGACATTTTCAGACTAACTAGTCTAAAAGGATCTAATTTGCCGACCATAAATCATTGATGGGGGGGGGGGTGACACCCCACCCCCCACCCTCTATCGTGCCAGCCTTGTATATATTCTTAAAACAATGCTAGAAACCTCAAAACGTAACAAATCGTGAATAATACAATTTTTAAATCATTTCAACAGAATACTCTAGAACTTTATTTCGCCTAATCAGCGTATTTTTTGAACCAATAGTATTAGTTTGTTCGTTAATTTGGCGGGTTTTTAGTGTTCGCAAATATTCTTTTTATTCTTTCGCACAAAGATGTTTTGAGAACATTCAAGTTTTTTATGTTTCCATGTATGTCCGTAAAACAAAAATATTTTGTTTCGTATATAAACTTAAATATTCTCAAAACGACTAAAAAATCTGGCCAGTTTTTCGCAACTTAATATAATTTCCGTGGTCAGTATACAAGAGCAATTGTTCCCACTTCGCGACCAAGCGATATTATCAATGTTGCTAGCTGTGATATAGATAATATTTATATCACAGCTAGTTTAATAACCTAGCTAGCTAGGTTCTTAAGATATATATCTATATGATATAGTATATGTACTATATCATATAGCTGAGTAAAGTTATGATAGCTTAGATATATCTTAGAAATATCCTAATTACAGCCTGAAGCTTCAGACTATATCTTCGAAGATATCAAACACGCGTTTTATATATTCAATCTTGTATCCTTATATTATAAATAAAGTGCGACAAAAAATTTCATTTAAAAAAATGATACTTTTTTAATATTTGCAGGATCAATTATTAAAACATATACAAATATTTCAAATAGAAATTAAGAACTAAACATTAAAAAAAAACATGGCAACCCATACATACATAATATCTTTCCACAATTTCGAGGTAGAATACTGTAAAGTAGTTAAACAACGCCGTAATTAGTGTTCATACCCAAGGTACCGTAATATTAACGGTATTGTACCATAAAACGCATTAACGGTGCAATACCGTGTAATTCACGGCATAGTAACATGAATTTCACGCTAAAGTTTTAGTGTGTATATATATATATATATATATATATATATATATATATATATATATATTAGTATGTATATATATATTAGTATGTATATATACACATATATAAACAACAACAACAAGATATTTATTTTTCTCAAAATTTACAATCACATAATTACAATAATATAATAATAAATTTATTTTATTTGATTGATTCTTTTAATTGTTTTTATTGATTGTTTTTTCAATTGTTATTATTGATTGCTTTTTGTTTTTTTTAATAAAGTGTTGTTTTAATTAAACTTATATTTGCGTATTTCATTCTCCCCGAATGTCTGTGTGGAATGGAATAAATTTTTTTTTAATCAAATAAAGTTTCATAAAAAACTTTACAAAAAAAAATTGTAAGATTTTTATATATTTAAATACAGCTCAATACTCTCTACAACTTTAAAAAAAAAAAGGAAAAATCTTTCTTCTATAAAAAATTAATAATTAAAATTCTTAAATATTTCATTTGACCCCATACAATACATTACAATAATAATAATAATAAAAATTGTAATAACAAGAATATCTATAATATTACAAATAGCAAAACCAAAATATCATATAAATATAAATGATTTACAAAGAAGGAGTCACTCATGCAGAAACCTGATCAAAAGAAGGCCACCAAATAGTTATATTAATAATGTTAATTTAAAAAATATTAGTAATAACAATAATAACTTAATTCATTAATAGAGCAAAGGTGACAGCAAAAATAATAGTATTTATAATAATAATAGTGATAATAAAAATAGCAGTAATGAAAATAGTAAGTAATAATGACAAAAGCAATAAATTTTCTATAAAAATAGTAAGAAAAAAAAAAAAAAAACTAATAGAAGTTAATAATGATAAAAATTTCAGAATTTGTTTAAATTTATTTTGTTTTAAACAAAGAAATGAAAATAAATTATTTTTAAGTTGTTTTTTTTCAAACTCATTCACAATCCACACAAGACTTCAATTTCATTCACTGATGCACTGATGTGTAATTGAATACTTACCATACCTCAAAGTTTTATAGGGAGGTAGGTTTATACATATATATATATATATATATATATATATATATATATATATATATATATATATATATATATATATATATATATATATATATATATATATATATATATATATATATATATATATATATATATATACACACACACATATATATATATATATATATATATATATATATATATATGTACACACACACACATACACAGAGCTATAAATGCATGTATAGATAAGCATTCTGGCGTCGCGCTAAAATAGCCTGTTGCTAGGGGCTTCAATATATACATCAACTACCTTATAGCCTGTTGTCACAAAGAAGTGCCGCTATATTAAGAGTTTGGCTTGGGGCAGCAATATTTCCTTTCATTATTATTATTTTTTTTTTCTACTCTTTTTGAGAATATCTATATTCATTTTATATTTAATATCTAAATTTTCAGTAAATGAAATTGCAAAAAAAAAAAATTCAGTAATATTAAAAAAATTAATAAAACAAAAAGCTGTTATAGTTAACTAGTCTCCTGTGTCAAATAAAAATAGTTTGAATTTTTTCATGTTGACACTGAAATACAATTTTGTTTTTTTATTTAGTATGTTTTAAACATGTAATAAAATTTTATTTTTCATAGAGACAAAGGTGGCACATTTTTGTTGTTAGATTGTAGGATTTGCAACATTTTGTAATAGGCTTAATTTTTTGGTCTTTTAAGCTCCGTATTTCCTTAGAGAGTTCTGTAATGTTTCTATACTTAACTAATGCAAACGATTTCAGATGGTTTGCATATCATTATTTAAATGGCGTTTGACTAATGCCAAAATAAATTTTTTTATTATGTTCATGATCACTGAAATTTACAGTTACTTGATAGACAATATAGTTGGACAAACACTGGTTATTCAATGGGTAAAATGCTTTATCCATGCAATCACATTGCTTGTTTTTTAATTAATTTTCGTTGTGCAAAATTTTGCAATGACATTTATGCTGTATGGGGGTTTATACCAAATGATACTACATTTACGATGTTTTTTTAATATTATTTTTGATTTGGAATTATGGTAGGTAAGCTTTGCGTTATATCCTGATTTTTTGTAGATTTTTTTCATACAGTGGAGTTTTTAAGCTTCATAAAATAACCTTTTTTGTGCTTCATAAAATCTTCAATAGAAATTCTATTAAGATTAGCAACAGTTGCATGCATAATCTAAAGTCCATCATAAATTCACATAATTTCAAAATTTTGCACAACAGAAATCAATTAAAAAACAAGCCTTGTAATTGCTTGGATAAAGCATTTTGCCCATTGAATGTCCAACTATATTGTCTATCAAGCAACTCTAAGTTCCAGTGATCATAAACATAAAAATGTGTATTTTGGCATTAGTCAAACACCATTTAAATTAAGAAGTCATTTGCATCAATAAAAGAAGTATAGAAATGACACAGAACTTACTAATTAAATATTGAACTTAAAATACCTTAAACATAAAGCCTATTATAAAATGGAAAATTATCAAGCGTTGCAAACCCTAATATCTAACTACTAAATTAGATTGATGTAAATTTAGAATTGTGAATATGTAAAATGCATGTTTTTTTATTATTATTATTTTTTATTTACTATTAAAGTAATAAAATATATTAAAAATGTTTCTTACATGCAGTTATTACCCCTTCTATGTCTAGTAGAGTGTTAAAGATGTGTTTTCTATATTAGGTGTTGAAGTTTTTTTGTTTGGCTAAATTCGTTGTTTTGTTATCTTGCTCTACAAACTTCATCTTTTCTCTTCCAGTAACTTCCAGCTCTGATAGTGGTTGCTTGCAGCCTTGTTGAAAGTATTGAAAAAAAAAAGAAAAAAAAATTAATTTTAATTTTATTTATTATGGTTATAAAATGTGCAGTTTGATAATTATAAAATGTGTTTAGATTTTGGTTTGGAGGACAAACTTTGATTCAATTGATTACGTTGATGGTATTTATATTTTTATTTTTGTTTATATTTATCTTTAGTTCATTTTATGTAATAATTTTAATATTTACTTTCTTTAATTTTGTTTTTTGATTTTTTATGATTTTTAATTGATCATTTTTATATTGTTTTTAGTTTTAAAAGCACATCGACAAAACAGCAAGTCATCACACTGCCACACGCCTGATCATCCGCCCCCAATCAACCACGATCCACCCCCAAAGGAAGCAAAGGAGGTTTATTTTTCATTTAAATCGTAATTATTTTTTTGTTTAAATTTATTTATTAAATTCTTGTGTGTTTTTAAATTACCTATAAGTTAATGAATTCAACGATTCAAGAGCAGAAAATACTTTTAGTTAAAATTTTATGATAAAATGTTTAGATAAGTATTAACAGTGAACTTCCTGATCTTGAAACCTCTCATCCTTCTATTATGGAAGTTGGTCCTGCTCTTTTCTCGGTTTCTCAGGTGTGGTAAAAGTTTATTCCTTTAAGGAGCAGTCTAATTTAAATAAACTTTAGTTTGTAAAAGTTTGTTATCAATAGTTAAAAATTTTATGATTATTTAGATTTAATAGATTTTTGGTCTGTGAACTGTGCTACTAACTTTTGGTCTGTAAACTGGTTTTAACTTTTGGCCTGTAACCTCTACTATTAACTTTTGGTCTGTGAACTGTGGTATTAATTTTTGGCCTGTGAACTGTGGTACTAACCTTTGGTCTATGTAATTTTTCTAATATGTCTATCCAATTTACTGAAACAGTGACCTCTTTGTTAGTTTCTTTATATTCAATCTTTTTTATCAGATCACTGTAACTTGCAGGTTGGTAACAAGATGGCAAGTTTCAATTACAGTTGGTTCCTGAAATTTGCAATATGATAATGAAGATGACAGTTAAAGTAGACCATCAATCTTTTGATTCTAACTACTCAGCAAGTTGTTTAACAAAAAAAGAAAATTTTGTTGTATTTTTATTATAATCTTAAATGTTTGTTAAGAATGCATTACATTTAAAATTAGAAAAGTCAAGTCTAACTGCAATCAGTTTCGGTTGATACATATTAGTCACTATTTTAATTTCAATATTTTATGTTCTTTTCTTTTACTGATTTAAGATTTTTACTGATTTAAGATTTATCTTCAGAAAATTATTTTCAGTTCAAAAATTTCAATTTCAATTCTAATATTTTTTTGAATCTTTTTTGATATTCATGGATATCGTATAAAAAGAAAAGTTGTTGCCTAGCAGCGCATGTTAGCCGCGCATTTAATTTTCTCTTTTTCCTTAGTCATAATCTGTTTGTTCTTCAGCTTTGCTAAGGATTTATGTAAGTTGATATAAATGGTTGGTTTTCGTTAGTTTTTTGCTGCTAATAGCACAGGTTTGCTAAGATTCTAATAAATAAATCTTTTATTACAAATAATTTTTTTTTATTTTATTGTTTAGCCGAACGGCCGAGATTACTCACATTTGATAGCTGGAGATGATAGAAACTCTCCAGAACTTTTACCTGATGGTCGAAGTTCCACAACCCCTTTGGAAAGAAGAGATATACCGCCACAGCTTTCAGAAACTTTGGAGCATATTGTTGCCCAGTTGGATGTTATTACTCAGGTGAGCTGGGTAGTCTAGTTAAATAAAAAATTTAATTTATTTAATTATTCTATTAATCTCATTTCTGGTAATTTCTGATAACTTATAAGTTATATTGTAATTATTGACGTTTTGACACTTTAGACTGTTTCCATTTTGGAGCAAAGGCTAACCATGTGTGAAAACAAACTTCGCGAGTGTTTAAACAACCAGCAAAAAATAATTTCTTCAAATAAAACCTAGTAAACACATTTTTTTATTTCTTTTTTGTTTAAGAATCCGAGCAACTAGTTTACAAAACTATAAAAAGAAAATGTTGAATAATAAGACTTACAAAAATAAAACTTCTTTGTTAAGTTTATATGTTAATTTAACGATTATTGTATAATTTATGTTGTATTTAAATTTCTTATATTACTTGTAATTGTAAAATAATAAAGATGAAATATTTTTAACAAAAAATAACCTGTCTAAGCAAAATCTCACCTTTAGCTATTAACTATGGAAAAGAATAACTAATAATAAATAATCGCTAGAATCAAAAAATAGTGCAGCTATGTCAAGAAAAGATCGCTAAAAAAATTATTTAATTATTAAAGGTCCCGTGGAAACTTTTTTTATTGGTTTTTTAAACACCCATATGAAACGGTGACCGAATGTTTTTCTAAAAACCTTTTTTAAGGGTCTCACAAAAACGTTTTTTTATTGATTTTTATTATGCCAAATGATACGCTTATACGTTTTCAAAAATCGTCCCATAAACGTTTTTTTTTATTTATAAGTTAACTGAAGTAAATAACTTATGCTATACAGAAAAAAAAATCTTGAACAAATGCATATTTATGTGTAACAACAATGAGCCGGATGGAGACTTTTCTAAAAATTTTATTTATATATAAAATTTTGATTTGTTTATAATGTAAGCATACAAAAGTGTATATACATACGCAACGTAAGCGTATTCTTTGAATAATAGCCTATCAACTTATCGACCGAATCGAATTTTGTTGTTTGTGACACTTATGTTTCTTAAAAAAAAAATTGCCATAGAAATCTTTTGCGCCTTTCACTAGTACATATTTAGGTGTTACATAAACACATATTTTTACTTAAGGTAAATTCGATTTTTTTTTTTTTTTTTTTTTTTTGATTTATTGTTTTTATTATAAATTAATATATACTTATTCTTACATAAAACATGTATATAAATTTTTATATAATTATCTTATAAATTTATATATTTTTACATACTCAGGAAAAAATTAAGTATTAAAAGTCGTATCCATATAAATATATATATATATATATATATTATATATATATATATATATATATATATATATATATATATATATATATATATTAGAAAATCACTTGACAAAATTTTTTTTTCATTTTACACTGTTTCATCAACAAAGACTCATCAGAAAAATTGTTCTGATGAGTCTTTGTTGATGAAGCATAGTGTAAAATTAGAAGAAAATCACACAGTGTGATTTTCTACTAATTTATAATTGCTCTGTTCTTTTAAGAGCATTGAGCACTAGAGATGTGCCGGAACCAGTTTATGCCGAGTCTCCGATGCCGGGTACCCGGCTGAAAAAACCGGATCCGAGTCCGGGTACTCGGCACCGAGTCCATTTTTTAAAAGTTGGAATAAAAACTTGTGAAAACTGTAGCGCTGAACTATTCACACAAAATACGCTTTTTACGCTAATCAAAAGTTATGTGGCGGATGTACCATTTAGCAAAACCCCGCAATGCAGGGTAAGGGGCCTAAGTTGTAGGGCCTAACTTTTTTCAAAAGTTGTGCAATAGTTTTTTAATAACAATATTTAGTTTAAAGTTATTTTTCTTTCCTAGTGGAGCGGGTCTAAATAATATTTTTTGGGGAAGGGGGCAAAATTTGAAGTTCCGCCATTGAAAGTTATATTATGGAAAGCAAAAGAATAAGAAATATAAAGAATTGCAAAAAAAGGTAGATCTTCTCCACTGAAGAGTGATTAAAATAAAACAAATTTAAACAAATAAAAAGAACTTAAACAACACTTATTTGCTATATCTTATTTTAATTGTTTTATTAACTTTAGATTGTAATGCACAAACATTAGGTATTCTTCGTTATCTGCTTTTAGTCTGCTCCTTGTTGCTTCGTATATGTTCCCACCAGCACTAAATAACCTTTCACTTTCTATTGATGACGGAGGTGCTGTAAGATATTTTAATGCCATCTTTTTTAGTTTTTTAAATTGCATTCCACATTTACTCCACCACAAAAACGGACAACCTTTATTTTCTAAAAGAGGCAGAGATAAATAGTTGTCTATTTCTTGAGTAATTGCAGACCTTAATATTGTTTGCTTCTTAATTATGTCAGAGGTAACAACTTCAATATCTACTAATTCTCTTTCTGCCTCGGAACGTCTTTCACTCTGCTTTCTTCCGGTTCTCATAGAACTACATCTTTAATACAATCATCAATGCTAATGAATCCATTAGATGCTGGAGCTTTTACTATTGGAGTATCGTCGGAGTCAGAGTCAACAACATCTTGTGCTCCTTGCATTTCTTTCCATGCTTCTTCAACCCACTCCTTAATAACATTTTCATCAGCATGTTGATAAAGTAATTTAAATCGTGGATCCAAAAATGTTGATACACACAACATTTTATTAAGCAAAAATTTATCAAGTCTTTTAGTAACAGATTTCATTAGTTCATCAATCATCGTCATAATCCCAGCGTATATATCACTTGATGAAGCTTTTTGTAATAAAACTTTTAATGCAAGAACAGATGGTATAATTTGTGCGCAAGTTTCGACCCTCCTACCACATTTTTTTGTAAAGTTTTCAAATGGAGCAAGAATGTAAACAAGTTTTTCGACTATTACCCATTGATATTTAGTAGGAAGTTTAATTTTATCATATTCTGCTGCATAGGTGGCCAAAGAAACTTTTTATTCAAACGTTCTTTGTAGCATTTCAAATGAACTGTTCCAGCGAGTTGGAACATCTTGTTTCATTTTGTGAGGTACAGAACTTAACTGCTGCTGAATTGATTTTAATTTTGCACATGCTATTGGCGAATGATTAAAATGTGTCGTTATTCCTCTGCATAAAGTTAAAATTTCCTTGATGGTTTCTTGGCTAAATATAGAGTCATGAATGGCTAAATATAGAGTCATGGCTGAATATAGCTAAATGTATAAATGGCTAAAGTAAATATAGCTATATGTATAAATGGCTAAAGTAAAGTAAATATAGCTAAATGGCTAAATATAGCTAAAATATAGAGTCATGAATGGCTAAATATAGCTAATATGGCTAAATAGTGCAGCCTTCATATTGCTTGCATTATCGGTAACAATAAGATGAATTTTGCTTAACGGGATTTCAAAAGTTTCTAAACCTTTTTGTAAATACTCTTTTATATGAACACCTGTGTGCTTTTCCGGAAAATGAATTACTCGAAGAACAGCAGTTTTCTGGGAAAATTTAGTGTGATCTATTCAATGTCCAGTAATGCCTAAAAATGCGATTTTTGCAGTATCCGCTGTCCAAATATCTGTCGTCAGAGACAAATAGTTTACCGCGGAGATTTTTATTTTTTATATCTTTAAACAGTTCATCATACATGCTAGGGATTACGTTTTGACTGAAATATGTTCTACATGGTAATTTGTAATTGGGGTAAGCATCTTTAATCAGTTCATTAAACCCTGTATCTTCAACAATAGAAAATGGCTGAATTTTCAATGTGATAAGTTTTCCTATTATTTTATGGATTCGAACAGATCTGTAGTCATCAATATTCCACTGTTTTTTTTTGTGTAAAGCCTTAATAATGTTACTTTGTACTGTATTGGTGGTAGAAGCAACTGAGGCTTCAGAAATGGACGGCAATGATTGAACTTTTTTTTTTTTCTTCCGCAAGTTCAAACTCTTTGGAATGCTTTAAACGCAAATGATTTGCTGTAGTTCCATAAGACTTGAAAGATTTTCCTCCCCTCGTAACTATTTTATAATTATATGTAACTCATTTAGCGTTACAGTTTTTGTATCCGTATAAATTTTTGTGCAAAAATGTATTAAAAAATATTTTAAGTGAGATTGTTTTAAGTTAATAGAACTTTGTGGTTATCGACTACATAACACTCTTAGACTTATATCAAGAAGTTTAATGGTTAAAGTTTAAACTACATGAAAAATCAATTTGATGTGCCGGGTACCCGGCACATCACTTTTGAGCACTCTATTTTGTAGAATACATTTTAAAATTGTTTATATATATATATATATATATATATATATATATATATATATATATATATATATATATATATATATATATATATATATATATATATATATATATATATATATATATATATATATATAGGGGAAGTGGGGGCATAACCGCCCCCGTAACGTTTGGATTAATGTTATATGAAAATAAAAACGAAATGTGTTTTTTTAGCAGTTTATTTCAATAACCACATCATTATGCTTTAAATTGATGCATTTAGGAAAAAAATTGAACGGGTTTTCAAAATGTTATTACACAAAAATTACACTTAGTGAAAAAAACGGTTTTGCCCCCATTGTGAGGCACAACCGCACCCTCACAAAAATCAATGGGGTTACACCTTTCATGGTACATTTTTTTTACAATTTTCACAGCTCAGATTATTTGATAATTTTTTTGCATGTTTGCATATTGTGCAGGCATTTTTTGTATTTACATTTTGAGTTCTGCCCCAGAAGAGAGTTCTACCTCAGAAGAGAGTTTTTAGAAAAAATTCAGTTTCATAGTTTAATTATTAGATTATGGTATTATCAAAAATGGCTTTCACTTCATGAAATAATGCTGATAACATATATCTTTAACACTAAAATCAAATATTGCTTAACGCTCAAAAAAAAAGTTCAGGAAAAATATGATGTAAATATAATATTTTTATGAAAATGAACATTATTATTCACAACTTCTCAGAAACTTAACAGTCACTCTTTTTGACATATGCAAAATGAAGGAAAATGCTTTACTAACGCGTGGTATGTTTTTTTCCATATTAGAAAACATTTTTTGAAGAGAAATGTTAAAAAACGGTTGTGCCTCCATATGCGGTTATGCCCCCACTTCCCCTATATATATATATATATATATATATATATATATATATATATATATATATATATATATATATATATATATATATATATATTTTTTTTTTTTTTTTTTTTTTTTT